GCTTTGCCGTGGGACAGAATTGCTTGAAACCAAAAAGAGAGTGGAAACACTTTGATTTCCTCTCAACCAGAATTTTTGTCCTCCACATCATTTCACATGGTTACTTCTTCGTGCCTGAGTTTTTGCCACCGTCTGAAGACTTCTTGCACAGAATAAATTATGGCATGACCATTGCTTTGCTTGCAAAATTCTCTCAGTAACATCGGAACGTCAGGGTTAATGCTGCATTTTGTTAAGTGTGATCACGATTCAATCTTTCTCATGTCTCACAGGTCACCCAGACCTACGTGGCCGTATCCAACTGGACCTCAGCTTTAAAGTGGCAGGAGAGCCTCGCAGAGCTGCGCTCCATGGTGCCCGAGGCATTACAGAAGCACATGGTGCTTGGCTGTGATATCAATGTCATCAAGTAAGAGAATGTTCCTTTAAGTTAGACCTGTTGAAACTGTTTCTCTGTCAAGTCGGCTGTCTCAGCATTGTGCCAGTGATGTGTTCACTTTATGGATGCTCCTCTCCCTTGAGAACAGTGACTTATCTGGACATGCTTGGGGGCAGTGCTGCAGTCGAGGCTAACACGGGACTAGTCAAAAGACCTTAATAACAAGACCATTCACAAGAACACACACAAGACCAGTCACAAGACCAGTTACAAGACCAGTCACAAGACCAGTCACAAGACCAGTCACAAGACCAGTCACAAGTAACAGGATGGATGGACAGTGACAAGGGAATGCTTTTGTTGCAGTTCAGTTGAAGAGCTTGTGACTTGAATTCAGACCAGAGGGCTTGTGTTGGTCTCGTGCTGGTCTTAAGGGGTCTTTGACTACAGTGTAACTGAGAGGAGCAGCGCGTGGAGAGAACGTTTCCTGGATTCACATTATTCATGGAATTGAGCCAGTAGCACTTCAGTATTAATTCTTATTCTCAGAAAGGAATGGATGAGCAATTTTGATCACTCACTTTCTGTTGTGTGATAGGTTACTTGTTGGAGCAGTGGGTGCCGATAGGTTCAATTTACGTGCAGGTAATTCTTCGAGTTTGTTTTTAATCTCCAACCTTCCAGAGCTCTCAGCCATTTTGATGACAAGGACTTCCCTTCCGTCGCCGACCACCTGGACCTCATCCCTGGTCTGTCACCAGACCCAAAGGACTCGGATGACATCCTCATGGCTCCAGACCTCATCCATAGGCCGGAGGCCGTACTGCAGAGGGGTGAGCTGGAACTGGTCCGAGCCCTGACTCACTACCACAGGAGCGGATGCATCAATGCGTCGCCGACGGCGCTGAGCAAGGATGTGACGTGTCAGCACTCGGAGTTGTAAGAGTTGTTTGTGTTTGAAAGTTCCAATTCTTTTGATGAATTTAGTTTTCTTGTAAATGGAGAACAGTGCTGCTTGTGCCTGCAGTCCATAGCGTTTGCTGGTGTACTTGCCTAACTGACCATATCTGTGTTGAGCAGTGCACTGAATTGAAAAAAAAGGCCATTTCTGCAGTAATACCACATAAACGTGCGCATTTCTTACATTTGATGTGCGCATTGATTTTGGCAAATCATGACTTCCTATTGGTTGTGGAGGGATTCAATGTGTCCATACCACCTGTCAAGTGTGGTACCATCATAGTAAGGAACCATTTCCAAACTTGTCCTTAGCATGTGCCGACAAATTGGACGATAGCATCTAATGGTTTTTAATTTTGGTTATGTCAGAGAAGTTCCTTTAACAGATGTTTCAGCCCCTTCCAGTGACACAGTCTAGTTTATCGGTTCTGCTCATTGATCAAACAATGGAAAGTGAGCAGTTTGAAAGACGACCGTTTGCCAACCAGTGGCCACTTTTGCCCCGGTACCCAGGATACATTGGTGCACAGGTTACTGGGGATAATCGACCGGCAGTCGACAAATGGTTGTCGCTCGAATGTGCCCCACATTGCCCAGGCCCTCGGTACTCAGATTTTCACAAGGTTTGTCTTCCCGTGCATTTACCAGGCTCATTGTCTGCAAGATGCTGGATCGTGCCCACCAGATGGCAGTGAGCAGCCTGGCCCTAGCCTGGCAGGACTGGCCCTCCCACCCACCGGCCGAATTTGCCATGCTGATGCAGAGGGCTAGGGCCATCACAAACACCATACAGGGATACTTGCAGGTAAGTATTGGGCCAGAGTTTTAGAACCAAAACCTTTTGCCACAAGAGATCAAGCTCCGTTAGCATCTATAGTATTCTTTAGTTAAGCACTTGAACAGTGTTCTAGCTAGGGCCATTTTAGTGCCGAGTAATTTTGTGGATTGCAAAGTGTATATACCAAGTGCAGTGGGCGGAGCTCTCACAGCTCACAGCCGCACTGGATTTGTGCCCTCTATTGGTACCGCTGTTAGGCTGGTCTTGAGCCAAGACTACAAACACGTGCACGCTGCCTCGGAGGAGGCTACATTATATCTCATAATTTCACATCTGTCTCGTAAAACAGTGCTAGCTACACATTTTCTGATGCTTGAAGTACGATCAAATCAGTACTTTTTCAGGAGTATTTCAGTTCATTTTTTTGAAAATTCATGCTGGGTGACATAGCCAATTTGAAGCCGAGAGTCGGGCGGAAATTTGCAGTACTGGGTGGGGCCGTCCATCGCCACCCACCGTGGCTAGAACACTGCACTTAAAAACTGAAGCGTTAAAAATCGGTGACTATTATCTTTGAATTTCAGGGCAAAGTGAGCCCATGGCAGAATGTTATCTTAGACAAAATGTGTTTTAGAAAATCAAACTAAAAAGTGTAAAATATAAAAAAAAGCTGTTAATCCACCATATTTATCAGGGTCACATGAGCTTTCATGTGAAGACTTTCCAATTCGTTTACTACTGTAAAAACTGTAATTTCAACAGTGTGCTGAATCGTGGACATAGCAACTCCTTCAGAGTGAAGCACTTCCTTCTTTTACTCTTCCAGGATTGCCTTGTGCCGCTCTCTGATGTCCTCAGGCTGGAGCTAGCCCAGCATGACATTGGTACCGTGGGTCAGGTGTCAAAGGTCACAACTTACCAGCACGAGCTATGCCAGGAAGCCCCCAGTTTTGCAGGTAAAAATCTTTGAGATTTCCTGCACTTACAAAACTTCTAAATTTCTTATGCTCTTTGGGCATAAATTCTTTGGTTAAAATTCTTATACTCGCAGTCTGCCAATCATTGGAAAATTGTTCCAGATTTCATTGTCACAAAAAATTCCAAGCATCCTATGTTTCAGAGCTTATTTCCTAAATCCGAAAGTTGTCTGTCAAAAGTGTTCAAATCCATCCTGCTTTAAAATCTCATCACCTAAATCTGTGATGGATGAGGCCTTTTGTGTATTTTTAGATGTTATAATGTTGCTCAGATGACATTCATCAGAATGGAAGAGTTATTACAAGTTATTATGCATCATAACAAATTACCGTCAGAAGATTTATTGAAGTGAGTGTAAAGGCAGAAATCATTGGGTGCCTGGAAGAAGGTTAAAAGTGCGTCTGACCTTTTGCCGGGAAGCGTCATTGCCGTCAAAAAATGTTTTTGTTTGCAACTGTTTTGTTTTAATGAAATACAAAAATTTGTTTGCAAATAGTTCCAAAAATATTTCCCAAGTCGTTTGATAAGTTGTTCAAAGGTTGCTTTTCGTACAGCCTGTGTTGATTTTGTAGTAAATTTTATCCGTTTTTATTAAATAAAGGGAGTGTTTTTCTTACGCCCTTTTACCAGGAACATTTTTTCTACCGTGATCATGCTTCCGGGCAAAAGGGTGTGAGCGCTTATGACCTTTTGCCGGGCACACAACGAAATATCGGATGTAATTCAATGACAAGGATACCTCAGTATGTGCAGAGAGGAGAGAAATGGTTGAGATTTTTAGCAACTTTATTGAGACTATGTGTGAAAATTTAGTTGTGATGTTTCACTTGCTGGAATCACAGGCTTGGCCTCAGAGGTTGCAGCCCACCTCGCCAAAGTCCAGCTGGCTACAGTCCATCTGGCCCGAAAGCAAGGCAACCACAAATACGCCCAGCAGCTGCTCCTGCAGCACTTGGACCTGCTGTCCCCAGCTAAGGATGACAACACTGCTGCAGCGTCCCTGAACTTAGAGATCCACAACAGCAGCAAGAAGTCGGCCCAGCCTCTGCTGACTGCCCTGGCAGCATTGGACAGCCGCGGCGTCACGTCACTGGAGACGCTGCGCGTGGTCCGGGAGAGCTCCAAGCTCCTCCAGGCCATGGGCTACCACCAGGAGGCCTGGGAATGCCTGGTGGGCTGCAGTGTCCAGCACTCCACGCTGGTCAGCGCCAGCGTGGTCCGCGACCCGGAGGTGCGTGACGTCAACGCCCGCGCCCTGCTCAGCTTGGTCAAGTGGTTCACTGCGGACTACCGCAGCGCCGTGCCGCACCTCAAGATGGCCGCGTGGTCAGACAGGGCAAACGAAGGGGCATCTCCTCTGGCCAAGAACATCTCAGTGCTGCTGGATATTGAGCACACAGGGGCAGGAGAAGGACTCGGGCTGGGCACTGGAGACAGTTCAGATGCATCTAGACAGGAAGGTATGGACAATCCTGCCTGTGAGCAAGGCTGAAATATATATTTTACCTTTCAGAAAAGCAACCTTTATCCTTGCTACCTGCAATATAGAATGAATAGAACACCTGTAGCGCAAGAATCCTATTCCACAATTTCCGTGACTATGGTGTATTGTTGTTATTATTGTGTGAAGTAGTGAGTAACTCTGGCGGTATTTTAATTGATTGACAGAATGTAGATTGCCCTCAATTGAAAAGGCTTATTATTATCAGCACTTTTATGTTCTTGGCAAGTAATTGTTTCAGTCTAAAAGTGAATTTCTACATGTATATCCGAATCAAAAATAAACTGTGTCACACGAATTTGGATTTGCAAAGTAAAATATTTTGGAGGACCTGGTGACAATTTTTGCTCTGAAATTTCTTGGTAATTTGATTTGTACGATGTGTTTTTCATTTCTTGTGTAGTTGTCGGGAGGAGTCCTGCCATCAGCGAGACTGATGCTGTTTGCGGTCGTCTCCTGCATCTCAGCACCATGCAGGCGCCCTCGCTCACCAAGGCCTGGTCATCCCTGGCGTCTTGGTGCTACCGCTGGGGACGTAAAGCTGTTGATGTCGCCAGGTACCTAATTCACCCTTTTGCTGTGCACCCAGGTTGCCAGTCTCTTTAAGTTCGTCTTACAGCTCCCATTTAAAATTCCCTTTCTCTGTGGAAGATTGAAAAAAGCAACTCTAGGCTGTGGAAAGATGGCTGTAAAATGCGACGTTCCTGTAGGCGTAACTATCCTTGTGTTTGTAACAGCTTTGTCACAGCATTCCTGCTTACCTACTTTTGGCAGGTAGGCAGATTTCACAAAGCAAAACTTTCCCCGACACTTTACACATTTGTTTACAGATTCACATGCTACCCGCCAGCCATAAAAACACTCTGCACCACAAAATTGCTGGAATTCCTGTGTTTTTTTTACATGTACAACCTTTCAAGGTTACATGATGAATTTTAAATTCACCAATATGCGACCAATTTGGTGACCTTGTACCCAACTTGCCAGTGCAGTTCTGTATTGTGTGATGTTGTGTAAACGATACCGTGTCTCGTAGCTCGGAGGGCGGAGTCCAGTTGACCGAGGAGGAGAAGGCAGAGGTTCTGACGTCGTTGCCAGTAGAGATTACCAACAGCGAGACGGACAGCATCCTGTCTATCTTGAGTCAGGCTCACTGCAGCGCCACCAGCATACAAGAAGAAGATATCATAGAGCATATGCAGGTAGGTTCTCATGAGAACATGCCTAGAGTGACCGGACGATGGATGGGACAACGGCACCCAGGGGTCCATCACATTACAAATGTAGATGTCATAAAAACAATGTAAATCATTGTAGATGTCAATGTTGTCATCGAGACTGGGTGACAAAGAGACACTGAGACTGACAGACAAACAGCACTTGGGACCCACTGTAATACTACCACCATACACATATAGATAGGTTGTCATGAAGACTGAAAAACAAACCAATAATGAGACAGACAAATAGAAGGACAGCCCCCAGAACCCAGTGTAGTACTAATGATATAGGGAGAAGATGCCACAGAACACATGCAGATAGGTTGTCACAAAAACAGAATGTCAAACAGATAATGAGACTGACAGACAGTGGTGTAAATATGACCCTGAGGTCCTGTCAGTCACTAGTGAAACTGAACATCACAGCGCAATTATGTGTTTGTAAAAGGTATTAGTGCGTGAGCCAGCGTGTGAGCCAGCAGCATGCGTGCCCCATTCATTTGCACTACACTTCCTGGTTCAAAATAACGTCACACTTTGGTATTCTGAAACAGTTTTCTTACTTTGCCATCTCAGATTTTTAAAGAACCCACAAAGATCATGCTTTCTTATAACCTGACCTTGATAGAAAAAAAACTCGAGGACTTAAAGCAAGAATATGGCAACATTGGTTTTGAAACTGCAAGTTTCTTCTTTCGCAGTCTGCTTACCATGACGGCACAGAGACCACACGTCGGCAGCTGCTAAGCGCTTGCCCCTCCCTGCAGAGTGCTGAGCCCAAGGTGGTGAGCAACCTCCTGGAGGTGTGGAATGGTGTCTGCCGGCGCATCTTCAGCCACTACCGGCTGGCGGCCAGAAGCTACTTCACCTTCCTCAAGCTGGCTGGAGAGGTGAGATGGAAGCCAAGAGTTGAAAGTACTTTGTGTTCCAGTCATAAACTCAAATCATAAATCAATTGCAGGGCCATCAAATGTTAATGCAAGTCATTTATATGTTTGTCACAAGACAATCCCGTCAATTACAAACGAGACCATTACATGTACATGATAAGTCTGTCGCAAGTCTGTCTAAGACCATTGTGTGAAGTTCATCACAGGTTTAGAATCAGAGACAGAGCATGAGCCATGCAGTCCTCCAATTCAGCATCAGTTTTTCTCAGGAATTAAGTTTTCAAATTTCAAAGAAAGTTGATTGTATGCTCATGTTTGCAGCCACAGAAGTTTCTGGAAGAAAATCTAGAAAAAAATCTCGTTCAAAAATCTGGTTGAATAACTGTCACAGTTTTTTCTTCATGTTCCATCCTGATTTTAGACAAAATATGTCACCTGAAATGATAAGCATTTAACCCTAACCCTCCTCAGTCCTCCAACAGGTGAAGGATTGAGGAGGGTTAGGGTTAACCCTAACCCTCCTCAATCCTTCACCTGTGGTTAATGACCAAATTTAAATATGTGGAGAGTTAAGAAATAGAGATTTGGGCATATTTCATAAAACAAGTAGCAGATCATAATGATTTGATTTTGGTTTAGTTTGGTTTGCTGTCCAGACTTTGGTTCCTTTATTTCAAATCCGATATTTGATTACAAAAATCCAGCCATCCAAGAAGCTGTGCGTCAGCCACCACATCGACAGCGCTGCCCTGGACAGCCTACGCGACTTCGGCGAGACGGAGGCAGATTCGGCCGAGGCGCAGGCCACCCACGAGGATGGCAACATCACGGCCACCCTGCGGCTGCTGCGACTACTGGTGAAATATGCCGGAGAGCTGAGGGACGTGCTGGAGGACGGGCTGGCTCACACACCCACGGGACCCTGGAAAAGTATGGGAAAGCCTGTGACTGGCTCTGGCACTGGGCAGATGATAGGGACCATCAGAAATGCTCTGTGTTTTTGGTGTTCATGTTTCACAAGTTTCGGCAGTTATTTATCTGACACACTGTAAGCAGTAAGCATTTCTCAAAAGGTTCATGTCTTACTCAATGCAAAAAATGGGTGACATAACCAACTGGTTTTCTGAATCACCTGTTATTGATCCCTATTACCTTAATTGGTCCCTTCTCTCTGGATGGCTTTACACACTATAACTACAACAGGTGTCTGTCGGGTGTGATTGGTCAATCTGCACAATCAGGTGATTGCACCGTACTGTCCGTTGATCCTGTTGGAAATCTTGAACTCTACTTCCCCTCGCAAAACAAGCACAGGGCGATATGGTGATGTCGGAAGAATTGACAGGTTGTAAAACGAGATCAACTGATGGTGCGTCCAACTATCAGTTGTGCAGATTGTTTGGTTGTGCCCAACGTGTCTAATATTGAATAATACACAGTGATTTTCATGTTCTCTAATTTTTTGTAAGTTTTAGTGAAACCAAAATTGAGAGCTGTTTAGATAAGAAATATTGAAAAACTTCAAGTGTGTATTATGATGAGAAATTTACAAATCCAGATTTAAGAAATTATTTAAAATTATAACTCTCCAGATTAGAGATTTACCAATGAGAACCATTCAAAAGCTGTCTATCTGCAAGCCCTCAGTGTATTCTAAAATTGGAGTAATCTAATATGAAAAATGAAAATTACGTTCAATATATCATTTTTAAAAACATACAAATAAGATGTAAAAATCTGAATTATTCAGTCCAAATTTGGAGAAATGTACAAAAACCAAAAGAAGAAAACCATTTTAAACTCAAATAATGGAATGAAACCTTGTCTTTTCTGTAGGCATCATTCCACAGTTGTTCTCCCGGCTCAGTCATCCCGAGGCCTATGTCCGTCAGTCCATCTCCGATCTTCTCTGCCGAGTCGCCCAGGACTCCCCACATCTGATTGTCTATCAGGCCATTGTCGGCTGCCCTTCCACCACGGCGGAAGACAAGAAAAGCAAAGATGGTAGGTTTGGCAAAACGGCACTCAGTTGCCGTCGCAGTGAATGCGAGCGGATGTGTCGCTCATCAAAGGGGCCCTGGAGCGCTTTTGTCCGCAGTGCTAATCCGTGGGCACGCTATGCCCAAAATAGTGGTATACTGTTTAAAAACAGTGACGGACTACCTTTGAAAAATGCAAGCCGAAAAATGATGGCAATTCCCAGCAGCAGGTCTTTTTTTTCGAGTACTGTCTTTTGTTACATGGACCAGCTCTTTTGTCCCATTTCGGGCACCCCAGCTCTGCGTATAAACCCATGGTGCTCGAAACAGGGTTCCCGGGCAGCAAGTGGTTAAACTTGAAGAAAGATCGTCTGTGACTTTCCAATCCTATAATCAATCATGTAATTGTAGTTATACCCATAGTTACCGATTTTGTCCCACTGAAAAAGACTGATTACTTTTTTAATGCCTCAAAGTTAAACCACTTCAGCAGTTAGGCTGATGCCAAAATCCAGTACATAAAATCAGTATCAAAGATCTTGATAGTTACCATCATTCACTTTTTTTTTAGAAGTCAAAATTCTTCTTTTCATTTGAGAAGGGCTTGTTTTTCCCTATGAAATTGTCCACATCTTCCCAGATCTTTCAGTCTTTTGTTGGGATGACTTTAACAAGAACTTTTCATCCTGATTTGTTGTTGCTATGGATGATATGAGTCCTGAAAGCTGTTTGTTACCTGACCAGTCGGAAGTAAACTGTTTTGATTTGGCATGACTCGGGGTTTTCTTTTCTCGCTGCATTAGTTGTCCAACAAGGAGTGATCTCCAAGCTTCTCAAGAGTCCAAGCAAAGATGTCACCGCTGAAGGTGACGATCTCCCGGAGGATGCCACACCCAACACCAATCCCGAATCCGCCCAGGAGAAGGAGGAGGTGGAGGAAACGACAGAGGATGAGGAGCACAACCGCTCCCTGAGCCTCCTGGAAGACTGCCTGACTGCCATCGTGGGCACCCTGGGCAAGCACAGCCCCGAGCTGGTCAGCCAGGTGGAGGCACTGGTGCAGGAGCTGAGGCGGATCACGGTGCTGTGGGAGGAGCTGTGGCTGGGCACATTGAATCAGCTGCATGTGGATGTGACCCGGTGAGCGTGGATATTAGTGGATTGCCAGGATGTGGAGTGTGGGCATGAGTGGACTGTAAGGATGGTCTTGAGCAGGGATATTAGTGGGCTTGGTGGGATAAGTGAGGATATGTGTGGATCGCCAGGACAGATGAGTGTGGATATGAGTTGATTAGTAGGATGGGTGAGTGTGGATTTTTAATAGTGGATTGCGAGGATGGATGAATGTGGATGTTAGTGGATTGCTAATTGCGGGTAGGAGGAGGTGCTGGCACAGGAACAGGTGAATCACTTTGATGTGGTAGGCACTTCTGCCTGGTACCAAGTCAGCAGTGTGCTAGGTTCAATTTCTTTCTGCCCTTGTTTGTCAGGCGCTTGCATCAGCTAGAAGATGAAGTGAAGAGAGTCCAGCGGAACGATGGACTGTCAGCTGCCGAGAAGAAACTCATCATTGCAGAGAAACACAACGCCATCATGAAACCGGTCAGTTGTCTCTGCATTGGTACCATCAACAATGACCCATGCTTCTAAAAAATCTGAGGAAACCTGTATGTTTTAGTCATTGAGATGGGAAAGGTAATATGCAGTCACAAAGATACTGCGCGAGCAAAAATATAAAAATGCCTCAAGTTATGGTTAGAATTGTTTCGCGGTTTCATTCAAAAGGTGCCTTCAAATTGCACTCCTTTACAAGAATTACATCTCTAGAACTTTATCACAACTGTCTGTATGGGATGTAATAACCGTTAACCCTAACACTCCTCAGTCCTCCAACAGGTGAAGGATTGAGGAGTGTTAGGGTTAAAAATGGCGATTCAACAAAGAACTATTCCTGAGGTGCATTTCCCATTTCCAATGATTCCCAATGACCCAATCAAGCAACAAGCAGACGGTCTTTCAACTTCAGTTTGAACCCTTCCCCAGGTGGTCTACTCCTTGGACCAGGTTCACTCCATCACCAGCCAGCCAGCAGAGACTCCCAACGAGAGAGCCTTCCAGGAGGCTTACCAGGAAGCCATAGAGAAGGCCCTCAACGCTCTCAAGAATCCAGACACTCCTAACAAGCCCCAGTCCAGCTGGACACTCTTCAAACAGGTCAGTGGTGATACTCTTAATCGAAGTCTTCATTTGGTCTTTCTACCTCA